CCCCAAAACCCCAAAACCCCAAAACCCCATAAGGAGTCAACAGATTGTATCATAAAATTTTATTTAAAGCAATATGAATTTTGATAGTTCTCTCATGAGTGCAAAACTACACCAAAAAGATCTTGTGTTCATGAGTTTAGAGGATTATTTATTCAATGAGATGACTCAGAGTTTGACAAAGGTAACCCATTTCTAAGAGTATCATTGAGAGTCCTGTAGATTATGTTTGGTATAATAATACCAACTAGTTTTCGGCCTTTTCAGTTTATGTTAATAATGATCCTGAGTATTTGATTTTGACATTATGGGATCCTCATTCTATTTGATAATCGACACAACAGAATTTAATAATAGATCAAATCTTGTTGTCAGTGCTTGTAGAGGTTTTGCTATTTTGTAAAAATAGTGTTCAAGAAATTTGGGGATATAACAATAGCTATAGGAAATCATAAACCAAGATAAAATATCTGATCAATCCGTTGCTTCTTGTAAAAGAACTTCTGAGGCTCCACTTGATCCTTTGACACTTAATGTCTTTGCTAGGGATCCTTCCGAAGTTATAGACAAGGATTTTTCACAAGAAGGTGAGAGGGGTTCAAAGCTTCTTAATGAATCAGAAGACTTACCTCATATAAACTTAGGAATATCAAGACTCTCTGACAGAAATGAAGAAGAAAAGACTCCAACTCCAATAATATCAAACACTTGAAGTTCTCCAAAAACTCCAAGGCCAGATATTGAGAATAGGAAAATATTGAGAGTTATACGGAAGCTTTATTCTGAATTGTTGTTTTACCATAACGATAAACTTAAGAACAAGAGGTTCACCAATATAAAGTACTCAGTGCTCTTGGAGGCTCTCACTGATATGTGCTCTATCTATATGCCTGAAGTACCAGCAGAAGAGATGGGGCAGTTTATGTTTATGTTTCTAAACATTCACTCCCAAGATAAATGAACCATTAAAACTAAAGCAGCCAGAGCAGGAAAGAAAGCATTTGAGTGTAGCCATAAATACAAAAGCTCTAAATTTGAGGCTCTTCTAGATTTTATGCACTTTAGACTCCTCATAACCTCATTTTGGAAATTAAAAGACACATCTTTGGAAGATTTATTAGTGATGAAGTCTCAAATATCCTGGCCGAACCAGTATAATTTCAGCAGAGAGAAGTATACAAAACTCATCAAAAAGTGACTTGACCCCAAGATTCTAAAATCTCTCGAGCCGAGTATAAGTCAACTTCATAAGGAGTGACTCAAAAGCTATTGGGTTTAGAAATTAACGCCCAAAGACTTTTATTAAATGGAGTTTATTAAATTTTAATATGCTTCCAACTAATATTTCTTGTGGAATTTAGGTTTTGCTCAAATATATCATCGGGACTATAGAATGACTTTGTTCTTCAATTTTTTTGCGATTCTGTGGAAAGGATAAAGAGTACTCATTCTTTGTTCTAAGCAAAGAATAGGCCAAGAAGTACTCAGGAAAGCTGTTGATAATTTCTTCTTTAACAAAAATTTCGAGGAGGCTTCTTTTAAGGCTATTAGTAAAGACCTATCCTAAAATGATATAACTTCATTTCTTTTCCCTTCCTGCTAGCTTTTTCCTTCTTCAATAGATACAGCTATCCCTTCCTTTAGCATTTGAATAGAAAGAAAAAGTACCCAAAATGACACAGGAAAGCAAACTATATCTGCTCCAGAAAGGGTTTTAGTAGACTCTAATTTCTCAGAAAAAGAGAACGTTACAACAATGAAGCTAAAAACCATTATTAAAACCAAGGCTTAAAGCAGATTGGTGGAACCACTTATTTTCTTAATAATTAACTTCCATACATTATTAAAACTACCATCTGGCTACGATAAAGCTTAGCTTCTGTTGTATGATGCACTGTGCAGAGAATCATTAGTTGGAGTTCTCACCTAAATAGAGTTAGTCTTAAGAACTTTTATATACTTAATAATGTATACAGAGAAGTAGCGCAAAATAGAGGAATGATTTTGTAACCCAAGAGACATTGGAAGTAGTCTAATTGGCTGAAATTTTAGAAAAGGCAGAGAATTAACACCAGAAATTCATACTTTATTAATAACTGTTTTTATTAATTTTGGGAAGTATTATGAAGGTTAAGGTTTTATTAGTAATGTCCAGGGAAGAAGTAAACTTCATTAGAAGACTCTAGAGTACTTCTTTAATATTTTTATTACAATATATCAAGGTTTACATTAATATGACATCCTTTAGTGCTAGTAAGAGTATAAAAATTTTGAGCACTAATTGGAGGAAACAGAATATAATTAGCCGTTTTTTCAAAATTCTAAAATTAGAAACATTTTCAACGTAATTAATAGGTATACCTAGTAATGTGTATTGGGTAATTAGGTCTAAACTTTGATTTAAACTATTCTTCTCATCATTAGAAGTAGTTGAATTAAGATATGAGTCTAAACATCAAAGATACTATTTGAGCAACTTTAATTTGAAATTCTGATGAAGTTTCATTAATTCATGAAACAACAACAAAATTTCATTTAGAAGGAGGAGTCTGTCCCCTCCCTTCTCTCTCCTTTTCTTCGATAACCCTCTAGCCACTATAATTTTTTGTCAGGTGCAAGCTAGACCAAATCTTTTTATCTTGGTATTTGCTCTTGCTCATTTCTACCAGGGTCAAATCTATGACCGGAATGAAGAAAAGTAAGTAAAAATTTGGTTACTGAATTACCCAAATCTCGGAAGATTAATAATTTTTAATAATTTATTTCAATTTAGGAATTAGTGTTAGGGGTTTTGGGGTTTTGGGGTTTTGGGGTTTTGGGG